AGGACAAAGAACTGCCTAGTGAGACCAACTTTGCATCTCTTTTAACTACTTACATTGACTTTGCTGATAGTCAAAAGTCAGGGCCCTAGTTTGTATCTTTAACGCTTATGCTGGCGCCATGGTATCTCAGTACCACCTGTATTTTACTTCTGAACGGTTTGTTTAGGCTAAAGTTATAGGACACCTTGGAGTGCCTTCTGAGAACCTCCTTCATTACATTACTTAGTTAGGCAAATACGCTCTTTCAAAGTCAAGGGAGAAAAGGTTTCCAGAGGTGGGGCACTTTAGACCATCTGTTTGTCCATTTCTATCTGGATTCCCTGGGTCTCGGTCAAATCTCCCCCCGTCATGTTCTCTATTCCTCCACCGACACTCGTGACAGAAGAGTCCTTTGGAATTCTGCTTTTTCCCTGGCCTCCACTTGCACATATCCTTTCAAAAACTTGCCATTTACATATCACATTTGTCACCCTTAGAGTTGGTTTTATAGCTAACTTCATCTGTCTCCACCTTTTGTAGTTTGCCTACAATCTTCCGAGGTTGCCACTGGTGTGCAGGTGCTTATAGTTCTGGACAATAATGCGAATACTGATTTTGTGAACCTTGGTCATTATGTTGCGCGCTGGCGGCGGTAAGTAAACATTCTCACCCAGTCACCTAGGCCTTATCCTTTCTTTCTGTCTATTTTTCCTATTTGTGCTGCGCAGTGTTTCTTTTGGCTGCTGGCTCTATTAGGAGATGTTTTTCAAACTTTCTATGTAATTCGGTGCATTTTGGGGAAATGTCTTGGCGATATGCATTTTCTTCTTGGTACTACCCAACCCATTGTGTGCTGTCTCTATACTTTTTTGCTTATTCGTGGAACTGGATGGAGTGCCGTCCAAACTCATTGCCATGATTGAGGTCCACTATCGGTCTACCACCGTACGAGTTCTGGTCCACAACAATCTCTCTCAATCATTAGATATCCGGTCTGGTGTCCGACAGGGCTGCGTCCTTTCGCCCATTCTGT